TAAATTATGAACAATGAGGGAAAAGCTTTGATATCTTAATGGACTGAAATATACCATATGAGAGGAATCGCTAGGCACATGCACTTTGACATGGTTCTGAATTCAGGTGTACGAGTGACCCTCGTTGTACAGTCGCTGATTTTGAACATTGAAATGACACAGATGCAGTGGGTTTAGCAAGTTTTGCAGAAAGTTCCAGAAAGGATAGCGAAACAGCTATTACTTCCTTGACTGACTGGCTGAAGACCATGCGAAATGTCAAGAATGACAGGGAGCCATTGTCTCGACTGATTGCGTTTATCTCTTGCGGAAGCTCGAACGTTGGTACAGGAACAGGATCGTTGGGAACAACACTTGGCGCACCTGTCTATGCGAACCAAAAGGATAAGCGGCTATCGAAACTGAAAGACACTGATCGACTCCAGGTTCAGTGGTTCACAAGAAGCTTGGAAGCTAAAGCTTCTTTTTTCTTAGATCAGCATTGGCCGAACGATCGTCAGCAATAACACATTCGACCTTACCTTTGGTCTCAGCTTGAACAATATCTTAAGCATTTGGCTCTTTCTACCAATCGCAATTGTGTTTCGAAGATTGCTGTACTTAGCCGAGGCTTCAGTAAAAGCCTCTTCAAATATTCACATTCTTTATATGGACATTGCGAACCATTTGAGTAGCAAAGGTGTAAAGATTTATTGCATGCCAATTTGCCTCCTGTAAAGATCACAAGAATAACTGTCTAACAACAGCTCTTGTATATTTCGTAATAAATTATCAGCACGATAAATTAACTAAATCCTAAGAAACGAAAATGTAAATGCATTAACTATTAGTTTCATTCATTTCACTTGATCTTGAGTTTCCATGACGGCATCTCCTTTTGGGTCGAAGAGATAGACATGTCAGACACTGCCTCCTGAACCTATGCCAAACATCAGCTTCGCCAGAGGACAACCGGAGTCCGGAGCATGCTCCTTCGACAGTTGCGCCAAGTTAATCTTGGCTTTCTCCTCGGTCTTCTGCCAGTCATCTGAACATGCAGTAGTTGTTTCGCCTTCCTTTCTGGAGACATTCGCAATATATGCCAAAATAATTTCAATTGACTTCACAATCTGAAAAATCAATACGATTATCAAATCGATCATCGACTTCTGTGCACAAGCATCCCTGTACAAGATGTACTGATGCACCGTTAATTACTCGGTGCTCATAATGGACAGTCCGTTGTTTGCATAGAACCGCAACAACCTCATGCCATTATTGTTGAGGTCACTAAGGCCGTTTTTTCCAATCACGACGTTCCACTTTTCAAAGTCTACTCCAACGTGCGCATTAAAATCGCCCATCAATATGAGGGACTCTGCATTCGGCACTTCAGACAGAGCACACTGCACTTCACCAAGGAAGGTCTCACATTCTCCTTCTAAATTGGGCGCATAGACCTGTACTAAGGTCAACGCCTTAGCCTGTTGCAGCTTCAGTCGCAGGATTGCCACCCTTCCGCTGACACGCTTCCAATCAGTGATTCTATCTGCTAGCTTGGGTTCTACCGGAACATCAACACCGGCCTCAGCGCATGTCGCGATATCGACGCCTGAGAAGAACAGGTTCTACCCGCTGAGGTTTAAGAGTCCACAGCCTTGGTGCTTCGTTGACGAGAGTCCAGCACAGCGTCGTGCTGGCAGTGTATGGCTTCATCAACTAACTCTCATTGGTTCCCTCTGATTAGGATATGTTCCAATTTCAGAGTTTAAGCTCCCACTGAGTGTCGTTCTGTTGGAGCCTTTTCTTACGTGCAATAATGATATCGCGCTATCTCCCTCCTCCGCTCACAACTAATGGCAGTTCTGTTGCTGATTGATATTTTTCTAATTGTCCCATTGACCCTGGGCAGCAGTTGCTATGCTGCTACGCCCCAAGCTGCCAAAAGACAGTAAGCAGATTCTGATCGGCGACTTTTCGCAACGTTCCTCAGTGCTGTAACAGCTTGCGCCGTCGCTGATAACCTAGCAATAACCGAATCGGTATGATGTTCTATAGCCGCATTGCCGTAAGTGGCAGATAACTAAGTTTTACACAGACCTCGCCGCGGTCTTCAACCCTTTTCCATTCTCATCCAGGCATGGAACTAGCAAAAGCGGAGTTAAAATTGATTTGTTTATTTATTAAAGGTAAATGAATTGGTGATCTCAACAGAAATAAGCGATATTGTTAAAAGAGCTCCTAGTTCAATCTAAAATTTTGTCAATCTGATTACTTTACCATTTAACCTGAAACTCAATTACTAGCTTTGCTGCCACCTAAAGGGTAACGTTACATAGGAGCGATAGTTGCCAGCTATCTCGCCTTACCATTCTGTTCTGCATGTGGAAAGTTCGGTTCGTCGGTCATTCTAGTTTGCAGCGTAATTCTAGTCTGTTCGGCATCATGTTATCAGCTCCATTCGAGCTTTCACATAACTGACAGAATATTTCGAAACGAACCTGCGACAGTGTTCACATTTGCTGTGGCTTTAATAAATACCGTAAAGTAAGCGCACGTCGCAATGAGAAGATAGAAAGCTCGGGTTCTACGAAATTTTTATAATATTAGAGTGGCCTGTGTAACACAGAGCAAATTTAAAAGTTTGGTTAAAACCAATGAAAGGAGTCACATCACTTCGGAAACGTTTCATCTTCAGACTTAAAACTCACAACTGCGCTGGCTTCATACGCCGTCGGAATGTCACGAGTGGCATACGGATGCGCCTGAAAACCATATAAAAAGACAGAAGACATAGAAGAGAATCGGACCAGATATTATGTAGCCTGTTAGTAATCAAAACAATCGGTTGCGTTAATGGAGGAATGGGACTACTAGCAAGAAAATGCGTTAAACTAATGTCCTCCCAAATAGCAGACAATGAGGGAAAGAAGACATAATTCTGGATAAAGAATTTTTAATAGAATTATTCACTGTTTCAGAGTATAGGGGAGAAGGAATTTACCGTTTCAACATTGTATAACACCTTTGAAATTCAATAAATTAAAATGAATAAGCAATAATTCAAGAAAAAATCACATTAATGACTAAATATCATCTCGTCGGCTATTTAATCGATCTAAGCAAAGTACGGATAAGTGAGATATTCTGATAGTTTGTAACACTGGTGGTTGTTGGCACCTATCAACGGTAACCCATAATGGTCATATCATTCATTGCTTCACATTTCATTTAGGACATTCGTTCATTCACGGAAAAAAATCGAATAAGACATTTTATGACTGTTATTATAATTGCCATTACTGAGAAATTCAATATGTTTAGTGTTACACTGATATTAAATTATTCTGATTAATAAAAGAAAGAGTTTAATAGAAGATCAGATAGCTACAATAGTAGGAAATTAAAAATTTGGGGGAAGAGGGGGAGCTGACTGCGCTGAAAGGAAGTATATGGAATATCCATTTAATTTTCAAAGGGGTTTTAAAGAAAAAATTTAACTGAAGGCATAAACGGCAGCATCGTCGTTCACATCAGATCAGAAGAAAAACATGCGAAATTCATACAATCACCGAGACAGAAGACTCGCAAGAAGAACAACTAAATAACTAGCGCGGAAACTAACATAGTGGCCAAAAAGATGAAAGTGCTCTCTAAGGTAACTTGGAAGCAAGCGGCATGACCGGATATAACAACTGGATGTCCAGATCAGAATTGTGGTCTTTGAGGGAATGCGATGAATAATAGGAGACGAATTCGTATAGCGACGGAAACCACGCGTCGGTTCCGGCGAATCCGTATTTGTCATCTTTACACTCTATCAGGCAATTGTGTATCTTTCCTCCGCACACTACCGACAAAGCGTAGAACCCGCTTCGACTTTCTGATGACCGGACCAGAAACGTGCCATCTGACTTGCCAGTCAGTAGATTAACGCAATCTTGCTTGGAGCAGCCGGTAATAATCAGCGAGGAAGAATCCGTAGGGGAGAAGGTGTGCGTGGCGGCTCCATCAGCAAAATTGGGTGACCCGTTTGAGACCAACGCCGATCCCTTGAAGTAGTCATCAGCGTTGAAAAAATTCTGCAGCAGGTTCTGAACGGTCATCGACGACAGACCCTTATTCTGCAGCATTTTCGTTAGCCGCTCTCTGCGGCGATAAAGGTACAAGAAGTCGGGCTTGATGGAATTCAACTCACACTCCAGATGTCGCAGACGACCAGAAGTTTTTCGGATCTCCTCGTTCAACTTCTTCTTGTGACATTTCAGAGTATCGATCCGACACAGCAGTAACTCTCTATTGTCTTTCAGACGCTGACGCTCGTGGACTGGGGCTTCTTCCTGAAACCTAAAAAACTCGAAATCACAAAACAGGTATGACGATCGGTCGTATAACTCGAATGACGAAGACAATGAACATTAAAAGAAAAAAGCAACGAGAGCATTCAATGCAATTTTAAAAAAACTCACAGCTACACACTGATGCACAATGAACAATTGCTGCTAACAACTAAGGTCGATTAATAATGCAAGATTACCATTAATGCATAAAAATCAAATATAACCAGTCACAAAGCATCGAACCGACAATCTTAGTCATAACCGATGACTTGCTTCTTCAGGAATAACACACAATATTATGTATGAAAAAGAATAGCACCAGTTAGTCGAAATATTGTAATTTATCGCATCGATAAAGTAATAGCCGTTAAAACATGCAATAAATTTTCACGCATAAATAATAAAACTTCAATAAACCACTCAAAAAACTAATGTAAACCATCTCCTACACACGCAATCATATTACGGAAGAGACAATCTCGTTATCTTCTGTTCAAATACACGTATACCGTCTAAGCCATTAGTTTTGAAAAATCTTTAAACCCCGTTTAATCCCTCTGCACTTTTCATTACATGCATGTCAATTAATATATACTTCAGAGAATCCAATTCTAAACGAAAAAAACCTAGCAAAGGGGCGCAAATCATGCTACAGCCGATCCTGCATTCCTTTATTCTATAGCAATGCGTATCTCGTTAAATCTGGTCTCTAAGAAGGTATGTGTTATTTGACAGGCATTCGAATAGCATATGTTCGTATTATTTATGTTTATACAGTAGTACAAGAGTACAAGCATCTGAAACATTCGATGAGCGCGTAGTGGCTCTAGTGTATAAAAGGATGTAAAATACAACTGGCACTAGAAGTGCTCAAATATCATGAAGTCATATTCTACTAAAATGACCCCTGTCTTAGGAAGCTAGGAGAAGGTGGTCTTGGATGTCGTTGCTTAACAGTGCATATCCAAAATTCGACAAAATTTTTAAATTCGTTTTGAAAGTCAAATGCTTCACCTGAGTGACTGGAGACGATTAACTAAAATGGTAATAAATAAAAGTAAATTTATTAGCAGTACAAATAATTTTCAGAATTCCAGATTAAGTAAGGTTCTTCATCACGATAATTTTGGAAAGGTTTACTTCGCAGAGACATGT